GAAAATATTTTTCCTTCTCTTAATAGGAAAAATATTTTCCTCCAATTAGAGAAAAATAAGTTAATAAGAAAAATATTTTTTAAAACATTTAATCCAACCAAACATGAGAAAAGTTTTCTAGGTACCAAACACATCCTAAGTTTGTGTCGTTTTCGTAAAGGGGTTGACGAAGACTCGTGTTTTCGATTTTCCGTGATAGTTTGGTACAACAAGACAAGTAAATGAGTTGTTAAAAATTGAAAGAATAAATCAAGTGCAAGTGGCTACGTAATAACAAAAGTTCCTTGATATTACTCGAGCATTTCAATGTAGCTTCACACTAGTATAATAAAAGCTCCTCAGCGGTCTTTTACCCAAATAAAAATACAAAAAACCAAGCACGTAAGCTATATTTAGTTAGAGAGTTGTGGCCAATCAAACGTATGTAGTATCAGTCTAGCAAAGAATTTTCTGAAGTAAACTAGACGGAACGTATTAAAAATTTATTATGGCATCCTTTTTCTTTGAATTATGAAAGTGTTCAGCTCATTGTGGTGTGAATAAGAGGGCTTGACGGGTTCAGTTGTCAATTGCTACGACTCATTTTTAATTAGAGACAAATATATTAGTAGCAAAAATTTATTAGTAATACATAATTTTTATATAATAATTAATAATTAATAATTAATAAATTAGTGTTGCTTCAGCTAAAATACGCGTGTCGATAAGTTTTCTTTTGTTTCTCTCTTTGACTCATTCTTCTTTCTATCATTATTTGGTCATTACTTCATTGCCACAGGAATTTTTCCTAAAGCGATATTATCCCATACTAAACTTTATCGTAGTACCTATTTAATTTATTGACCCATTGACTCTTGTGGAAATATGATTCACCCACTGTACTATGAAATCGATTAAACAATTCCCAGAAATGTTAAATTAAGCTGTTTTAAAGAAGGTATGTCAGCTGGTCTCCCAATTAAAATTCTGCTGCTGTTAGATTTTTATTCCTCTTCTCCTTCGAACCCACTTTACCAATTCGAAGAAGTCAATATTGATGGCGGAAGAAGAGAAATCAGTGCAAGAGGAGCTTTCACTTCCAATTCTACTTGCTGACAGAGTAATTAAATCAGCCCAAGAAGCTGAATCATCCAAAGTGGAATGTGCGGAACTGGCTCGCCACGCTACTCAGCTCAGCCAATTCCTCCGAGCCACAGACCTCAAGCCAATTCTNGTCAATATTGATGGCGGAAGAAGAGAAATCAGTGCAAGAGGAGCTTTCACTTCCAATTCTACTTGCTGACAGAGTAATTAAATCAGCCCAAGAAGCTGAATCATCCAAAGTGGAATGTGCGGAACTGGCTCGCCACGCTACTCAGCTCAGCCAATTCCTCCGAGCCACAGTTCGCCTTACCAGTTCATCCCAATCCCAGTCCCTTTACGATCGGCCCATCCGCCGTATAACTTCTGAAGTTACCAAAACTCTGGACCGGTCCCTTACTCTTGTTCGCAAGTGTCGTCACAAGCCCAATCTCCTCCGCCATGTACTCGCCATCACTTCTACTGCAGACTTCCGGAAAGTCTCTGCCCTTCTAGAAAATTCCACGGCCGACGTCTCGTGGCTGCTCTCCATTTTCGACCCGGATGCGGGCCCCGCTCTTTCCCTTCCCCCTATTGCCAGCAACGATCCTATTATGGCTTGGGTTTGGTCTTACATCGCTACTGTTCAAATGGGTAATCTCCAGTACCGTATTGACGCTGCTCAGGAATTAGCTAACTTAGCTCGCGATAATGACCGCAACAAGAAAATGATTGTTGAAGAAAACGGAATTCCTCCTTTGCTGAAGCTGCTCAAGGAAACCACTTCAGCAGAAGCACAAATTGCTGCAGCAACTGCTTTGTACAACTTGGCTGACGATGAGGAAAGAGTGCGGGCGATAGCGAATGATCTCGGTGTTCAAATTGTTGTAAAGGTGCTTGCGGAAGCGCCCATGAGAGTTCAAATTCACGTTGCGAATTTGGTCTCAAGAATGGCTGATTTGGACGCGTACGCGCAGGAAGAATTTGGGAGAGAGAATATAACTAGGCCGTTGGTGACCCTTTTAGGAATGGATGTAGTTTTGGATGATAACAGGGAATCGCAGCCACATAAGACTCCTAGTTTACATTCTTTAGTTCAAATAAATAAGGAGATGGCTCGGAATAATTTTAGTTTTCATTCTAATTCAATGGATGGGAGTAGTAGGGGTGGACATTATGGTAATAAGAAAGAGAAAGATAGAGAATTGGAGCCCCCTGAGGTGAAAGCTAGGCTTAAGATAAGCTGTGCAATGGCACTGTGGAAATTGGCTAAAGGTAGTTTGTTAAATAGCAGGAAGATTACTGAGATTAAGGCTTTGCTTTGTTTTGCAAAGATTATTGAGAAGGAGAAGGGGGATTTGCAGATTAATTGTCTGATGACAGTGATGGAATTGGCTGCAGTGGCCGAGTCTAATGCTGAACTTAGACGAGTGGCGTTCAAGCCTACATCACCTGCTGGAAAGGCGGTTATTGATCAGCTATTGAGGGTGATAAATGAGGAAACCAGCGCTCCATTGGTGATTCCGGCTATTAAGGCAATTGGGTTGTTGGCTAGGACATTTCCTGCAAAGGACACACGAATCATTGAGCATATAGTGGCTAAACTTGGGCATAGAAATACTGATGTAGCTGTGGAAGCATGTATTGCTTTGGAGAAATTCGCATGTCCGGACAATTTTAATCGCATGGAGCATTCCAAGGCAATTGTTGAATTTGATGGAGTACCAAAGTTGATGAATTTGCTGAGGAGCAATGACCGAGGACAGGTACACGAGCTTCTATTGCTCTGCTACCTTGCTTTACATGTTGGTAATAGTAAGGCCCTTGAGCAAGCAAGAGCATTAAGCTTCCTTGAGGGAGCTGCTCGTCATGTAGTTTCCCAGCGTCCTGATTTGAAGGAGTTGTTTGCCAAAGCGATCCACCATCTTGCACTTTATCAAGCTGGAGGTCATACACATAGACAAGTTTAATGTTTCATCGTTGGGATTCCTATCCAACCAGAATGTCCATGTTTCTCGAATAATCAGGTTTGAAGCACTGTCCCGACAAAAGTCCTATTTATTATTCCTGCAGAATTTTCAGCTTCAACATTTGAAGATTGCTATGTGAAACTGATGTGCATTGGCAGCATTGTACAGATCAGGAATTATCAAACTTACACAAATGTTACATTGTTTATCTAAAGGTTGTCTACAGTCTTGAAGGTCACTTAGGTTAACTTGCTGATTCTGCTTTACTAAGATATTAGAAGAACCAAAATAAATCTTGATTGCTAACAAAAACAGTTCTTTTTGTACTTGGTCTGAGAAAGGGAATCACAGTTCTAGAATAAATCTAAGCCGTTCAATATCATCATTCTAGTGCTCTAATTATCTCCAGGCCAAATATGTAAAGTATCTGGCAGATGTTAATATATTTTTGGCCATCAGCTTTCTTTTGCCATCACATTTTTAAGTTCGTATTGCAGAGTCCTATTTTTACGTGAAATAACTTCTTGCATGTATCATCTCAATACTTGGTAAGCTATTTTTAGAGGATGTAACAATGGACACTTCATCGTAAGGGTGCAACCCATTCGTTTATAACATTTAGATTAGACATTTAGTAGTTTGATTAGTATATGTATGAGTCAACACTATTTGTCTCTCCTGGGAAAATAACACAAGAACAGTTGTAGAATAAATGAAAAATTAGTTAATAATCAATGTTATACTCGGAATATTCGAGACCGGTTAGATCCATTGTGAAATTTTAACTTTATGCATCTATCCTGTTGTGAATCATTCTTTGGAAGGGGAATTGATTTGTCGCACGACGTATACCAGGTTTCCTGCTTCTTCACATATCTTCATGGTTTCAAATCCTAGGGTTGCATTGCTGCAGAGAGAGCGTTGATTCTATGTGATAAATGATAGTAATTGACATCTATTTGGAAGAAGTGTATTATCAGAATAAGGGTGTCAACAGCATGCAGAATCAAAGCTATTTTGTGCGGCGTAATATTTTTTACCACTTTTTGAAGCAAGATTATATATGCAGTAAAGCATACCTATTAATATTGGTCAATTATGCAACTTAGGGTGTGACGTAATGGTCAATGAAGTGGGTGAGAACCATGAGGTCTCAGGTTCAAATCCTAATGGAGCTTAAAATACTAGGTGATTTCTTTCCATTTGTCTAAGCCTTGGTGGACATAGTTACCCGGGTGGACTTCTTAATCAGCAACATGCTTGTTTAACCAGCAGCACTCCCTATAATTTTTTTTTGTGTGGGTAAATACAATTTTTGATTACCAAGTGCAAGAATTACCGCATAATAAAAAAATAACTGTAGCAGCAACACAGTTTCAGTTAACATACTGGCTACATGACCATCCTAACTTCCCGTCCTTGGCTTAAGATTACACTGGATAAAAATTCAAGGATCTCAACTTCAGTTCTAGACTTGGCTTTAGCCTTTAGGTTCCCTCTTCCTGGATAACCGTCTTGATCAGCATATCAGCACTTCTAGTTTTTTTTTTTATATTCATAAAACAAACAATATTATTACTCAACTAAACTAGTCAACTGAAAATACAAGTTACAGGCCTTGTACAACATCCATGTCGGAAAACTAATTTCCCGAAAGGCCCCTCGAATTAGAGAGAGAACTAAACGAGTAGTACCAACTACCAGAAGTCCACATTCTATCATAGATGGGAGCAACATGTGCCTTACACATTTGAATTTGCCATATTTGTGTGCATACAATACAAGTCGATCTATGGACGAAATAAGGATTAAATATGGTCCATTGAGAGGATCGGCAGCAATGTCCAACTTTTGCACAAAACAAACTTGTGGCACGAAAATAGCCTATTTGTGCAAATCACCCATCCCATCACACCCNGGCCACTTCGAGCTAGGAGGAAGCTAAAGAGTGTTTTGGAGTCAATATGGAGTGTGGAAGCCCAATCGAAGGTTAGCCCGGTCGAAAAGGAGCGAGAAAAGCAAGCGGGGAGGTCCCCTCCAGGTGCGCGGCCGCGGAGTTGACCGCGAATTTGCCACTTCGAGCTAGGAGGAAGCTCAAGAGTGTTTTGGAGTCAATATGGAGTGTGGAAATCCAATCGAAGGTTAGCCCGGTCGAAAAGAAGCGAGAAAAGCAAGCGGGGAGGTCCCCTCCAGGTGCGCGGCCGCGGAGTTGACCGCGAATTGGACCGCGCACTGGAGGCAGAACACTGGCTGAAATCCACGGCCTGATCCGCGGTAGAATCCGCGGCCGCGGACGGGCGGACAGAGGCCAACAACTCAGGGGCAATTACGTAATTTCTAAGGCGACTAACCTAAACCTATATGAAGCCTAATTCGCCCAGAAGAGAGCGAGAGCTGTTTTTAAGAGTTTTTGGAGGCAAGAACAAGGGAGAGAAGACGGAGAATTTCCTAAGAGTTTTCATCTTCTTCTTCTTCTTACTTCCATTGTTGATTATGAATTGCTATAGTGAATTTTTATCCATTAGTATGGGTAGCTAAACCCATCATTTAGGGTTGATGGAACCAATTGTTGGATGAAGTTTTGACTATGTTTAGATATAATTGAGCCGTTTTTATTCTATGATTGTTCAACTATGTGTTGTGTTGTGATTAATTGAAAGAGCCTTTGATTAATCGTGTCTAGTTACCTTGTGTTGCTTGAGAAAGAACACTTGGTTAGATTGTTGTTGAACAACACCACTTTCGGGTAAGTTAAAAGATTAATTACTTGAAATTAAAAGCGGGGGTTAGAGATAACGAAGCTTTGGTGGGATAATTCTGAGTTGCATAAATTGTTAACTAGAGTAGTTCGAGAGAATGCTTCTAGTAAATTATCGTAATTGATCGAGAGATAATTACGGTAACCCGGAACTCATAATGCTCATAGAGTATTACGGCGAGATTATAGCTAATGTGTCAGGAATTAGTCCGGCAATTGGGGAAATCAATAGCCCTAGATCTTTTTACCTTTGAATTCAACCTTATTCTTGATTATTGCTAATTTTATTGTCATTTTTCATTAGATAAATTAATTCCACCTTTGCTCTACTAAAAATCTTGCATCCGGAAATTATCTGAGCTTATCATTAGCATTGTTAAAGGTTGTAGTAAATAGGTTAATTCCATGTGTGATTCGACTCCGGACTTAAATCGGATTATATTTGCAGCGACCGCTTAATCTTTTTTACAAGGCATAGTTGGGCGTTATCACTAACTTTATTTGCAAATTGAACCTTTGGTCTGGGAAATCTTCTGTTCACGCTTACAATCCGCACGAGCGCAGTTACTATTAAAACGGACTAGAAAATACTCATTACAGATCCTATGTTTATAACACCTTTGTATATTTATCTGATATATAGGAAAGAAGAAAGTGGGAAAGCAAGGGAAAAAAAAGGATAATAACAAATCGAGTTTACAGTTTAAATTTGCTGGAAGACATCTAGAGTCGACCCACTAAACTCTTCAGTTAAGGAACTCAATGGATTACTCATGAAATCTCCTGAACTGTGACCATAGAGCTCTCTTTCTTGCCTCGGACTTGACTTCAATTCTTCATTCTTGATCCCAACGCATGGATACTGAAACAAAGATTCGATTTTGTTATCAACTTCCCATGACAAATCTTCACTATTTTCCAACATTCTTGTCATCCGAATTCCAGCTGTATTCTGATAGCTACATATATTTGAACTGTTACTTGAACTCAATCTTGAAGTTGAGCTGCTAGCAAAATCAGTTTCTGTCGTCTGTCCATGTTTTAATTTTGTTAAACTTGTCTCTGAACCAAACCCATAATTTGGATTTCCCTGGAATTCTCTCTGACGATTATCATTCGGCCTCATATTTTGCTGGTATTGAGCTAATATTTCTGAATTATACCCACTCGGATTCACATTGGCTTGGAATTCATGAATAAACAAAAGATCAAATACCTGTTTACTTACAAATTGGTCTTTTGAAGCTTCTGTTAATTGCCCATTTACCTCACTGTTAAAACTTCTATTACTCAAGTGAAATGGTTGGTCCACTAATTCAGCTGAAGGTAATTCAATAAGATGTGGTATCTGCAACATTGAGGTCTTATTTCTACAATTCTCTTCATCCTTTACTTGATTCTCACTTAGGGGCTTGTGAGTATTTGGATCAATCCCCTGCTTTATTAGTTTCTTCTTCAAACTCGAATTCCAGAAATTCTTTATCTCATTATCTGTTCTCCCTGGTAATTGGGCAGCAATTTGTGCCCACCTGTTATATAACTAAATTATTAATTAAGTACTAAACAAACCAAAAAGATAAAAAAGGAGAAGATGAATAACCTGTTTCCGAGAACTTGATGGAGACTAATGATCCTGTCCTCTTCATCCTGTGAAACCATTCCTCTTTTAAGATCAGGCCTTAAGTAATTTATCCATCTCAATCTGCAACTCTTTCCACATCTTTGCAGGCCTGCAGCATTTCACAGCATAAGGAAAATATCATTAATTGGCATAGAGCAGAAAAAGGAAATTTAAATATATAAAACAAAAGGGCAGCTCGGTACATAAAGCCTCCCGCAGGTTTCGGGATAAGGGCAGCACCCCAAGGGGTGTAATGTAGGCAGCCTACTCTGATGCAAGCATCAATCGCTGATTCCACGACTTGAACCCTATAGGTTACACAGAGACAACCTGTTGCTCTAGATAAAGGAAACTGAACAGAAAATAACAGTAAGAACGTTTATAATAATTACCAGCTAGCTTAGGGACAGAACTCCAGGATCCAACACCAAATTTGGTGATATAATTGCACAATTTCTCATCTTCTTCTGGTGACCATAATCCTTTCCTTAGCTTCTGCTTCACACAACAAGAATGGCGCCCCATTTATCTGACTGTTGCAGCCTTAGAGTATTTCTGCACCTAGCTTTCAACAGTGACTACTTGTCTTGTAGCTGAAAATTTCAGGTATGGAAGCGAGATTATAAAGTCATCAGCATTAATATTTGAGAAGAAAATATCAACGATAATCTATGATTCAAAAGAAGTCTACAGAAAAATCATACTTAGACCTCAAGCTAAGAGAGAGAGAGAGAGAGAGAGAGAGAGAGAGAGAGAGAGAGAGAGAGAGAGAGAGAGAGAGAGAGAGAGAGAGAGAGAGAGAGAGAGAGAGAGGTGAGGCAATCAAGTGGTTTTGAAGCAAATTTTTTTGCTGCTTTTGAAGTGGACTGGATTGATTTTTAAGATATCTCTAGATTCCAAGTATTTATACAAACTTGCAGAAAAGAAAAAAACCGAATAAATATATAAGATTAGAAAGGAGAAGTCTATAAACGTGCTATTAAGAGTAAGCATTTAAGTGTACTCAATTTTAGCCCTACATTCGCAATTATACAGTATGATTGAGTTTTAGTGTTAGTTGCATCATTTTCCTCACAAATAATCGTATAGACAGATGTTGCAATTTGATAATAAGCTAATGGGACCCTTCATTTACTAATAAGTATGAGTTTAATTTGTATTAGCTATATGCATATATCTCTATCTTGTAACCTCAAATTCAGCACCATCGTCATCAGAGATTGAACCATTTTTTTCTGGTTTTGTTTGTTAGTCACTGTCTTATAAAGATTGAATAGAAATAACTGAACAAGTTTGAAAGATTCGAACTATATTTTTGAACACTGTATCCAATTTCCAGGACCATTTCTCAGATAACCACAAAAGAAACAAAAGGTTATTTTTGGACAATGAAAGCATACTTCATCAATCGTCACACCCAAAATTTCTTCATGTGTTTATTTTTTAATATTTTGATATCTCTTTGTAAATTTTCTGACTCTATTACTGGTCACACCCACTTTGTTGAAAATAACCTTCATGTGCATTCGCTTCGAAAATAATTACTCATTCTTTTATGAATCATAAAATTACAAATTCTACGATACCCAAGGAAGGAAAATAGATAGTGCATTTTCAGTTTAGAATAAGTCTAATTGCAAATTTTAAGAATCAAAATCACAAGATTAGTTTTAATGAGCAAAATTTTATATCTTTATATCCAAAAAAAAAGAGAAGTTTTAACATGATCATTTGACTGAATTGTTCATTTAAACATGATCATTTCACTTATTAACCACCCACCCCCACCACCTTTTCCCCAAAAAAGAGCTCAATCTTTCAAAATCAATTGTCCGCTGATGAAGTAAAACATAATAAATTCACATGCTTCTTGAAAAGAAATAAGAAGCGGAAAAGACAAAATAATGGAAAAGAAAAGATAGTGAACAAAAGTGCTTCAGTCGAGTTTGAATTGCCGACATAGAGCTAAGAGTGACCTTAACCCTCTCTCAAAACCAAAGCACCCAGGCCCAACATACAAATTTGACTCTTACGAAAACTGAAAAAAGATTAAAACTTGGACAGGGGTTGCTTTTTTAAGATGAGAGGTTTAGTTTTGGATTTTACTTATAAAATGAACATTTTCTTGATGGGTAAGAACGGAGGAAATGAAAACTACGTATCAGAAATTTATTTGGAAATGTTCGTAGCGTATTGTTTTGCATGCAATGTCATTCTCCAACATATTATTTTTCAAGATTCGTTATCAGTACTTCAAAATACACGGCATACACATACCTCAGGAAAATTGTGTCATTTTCAAAAGTTTTCTCTATATTTTTAATGAGACAATACACAAGTGGCAGTATACATAATTTATGTAGTTTGTCCAGAATTTTCAATTACTTAATTTTTTCAAATAATGAAACGTAAATTGCTTTCACATCCAACTGTGTATGTTTCAATGAATAACTTCACCAAAATCATACGTGTTAATAGTTTCTAACATTATTGTTGTGGCCCTGCTTTTGGAATAATCGTTAGTATACTTTGTAAGTATTTTTATTTATAAAGAGTAGTGTTGCGACCAAACACACTCACGCAAGTATACGCGGTCGTCAAGTAATAAAGTGACTAAA